GGTTTTCGCTTTCTTCCGATCTTCCACCATCCACGCTCTGAGGTATTCAAACTCTCTATTCACCCATTTTCAACTTCAACATGCTATGTTTAATTCTCAACTCGCTCTTTCCAAATTCAATTTTAATTTCTTCCGTTTCTCTGCAATTAGATATTGCTAGGGTTTTGAGCTTGATTGGTTCGTTTAGGATTAAGCAATCTCCATGGACAAGGACAAATCTCTAGGTCACGGTGGAGGTTTGCCACCTCCATCGGGGCGTTATTCGGGTTACTCGGCCCCGGGAAGCGTGTTCAATGTGAAATCTGAGCCGTCGCCGCCGTCGTCGTCGTCGACGACGACGTATCCGCCGTTGGGTCCGGGAGGCAGCTCGGAAACTAGTCATTTCGGGCATGGAATGTCGACGGATTCTAGTGGATTTAGTCACGATATTAGCAGAATGCCTGATAATCCGCCGCGAAATAGAGGCCATAGGCGTGCCCATTCGGAGATTCTCACCCTGCCTGATGATATTAGCTTTGACAGTGACCTTGGTGTGGTGGGAGGTGCTGATGGGCCTTCCTTCTCCGATGACGCCGAGGAGGACTTGCTGTCCATGTACCTTGACATGGATAAATTCAACTCGTCGTCGGCCACGTCCACATTTCAGATGGGTGAGCCTTCCGGTGCTGTGGGAGCGTCCGCTTCGACGCCGGCGTTGGAGGCACCTGCATCTTATGCGGAGAATGTTGTAATTGGTAATAATGAAAGGCCCACCAGAGTTAGACACCAGCATAGTCAATCCATGGATGGGTCAACCACCATCAAGCCTGAGATGCTGGTCTCGGGTTCAGAAGACATGTCTGCGACTGATTCGAAAAAAGCAATGTCAGCTGCAAAGCTTGCTGAGCTTGCCTTGATTGACCCCAAGCGAGCAAAAAGGTATGCTTTATGGTTTTTTGCTGCATTGTTTCTTATTGATAAATTAGGCAATGTATCACTTGTAAACATCGTGTTTAGCACACTTATTCTCAAATTTATTGAGTATTTGGTGCCTCATTTTTAGGTAGCGCTGCTTTGGACCGAATAGGAACTTAGGATTTAGAAATTTTTGTTTTAGAAAATATTCTTGAAATGGAATTACAGAATAATTATTGAAGATGTATTTATAACAAAGTGCACCCCCCCTCCCCCCCAATGAAATTCAGAAACACAATAGATGGGATGATAGAACTTGAGCAGCAAGAAATGAGATGATATTGTATAAGAATGTTTTTAAGTTAGATTTTTAACTTCGATAAAGTGAGGGGCGTATAATTTTATCAGAGTCTCAAACATTGATTTTTGTAATCAATGGTTATAACTTCTTTTTATCCTCGGAAGTGCAATTTCTCACATCATAAGAGCACAGTTCTTTTAACTTAAATATCGTTTATTTTTATTACTACTTGATGTTGCTATCCTCTGTGGTTGTATGATTGTTATTTATGTGCATTTGACTTTGATTCATGACATTATGTTCTAGTTAAGCATATGAGATATCACTTTGCTTTGTGCAAAACATACTTGAAATAGTAAGGTGGGCTAACTAAACTCAATTTGTTATATGTCAAAATAAATAGTTAAAGATAGGAAGGCTGAAAGCTGTCAGTTTGTTAGAGTCCATTAAAAGGAAAGTGTTAACATCCTTCTGGTCTTATCTATATTTGGCTATACAGTAACAGTGTTTTGGAAGTACTGGCATAGTACGTTACTTTCTAAAATTATGTTTTGGGTCATGACTACTCTGTTAATAATGTCCCATTTTTAGTTTTCTCAATCCTCTGTTCTGTGGCCCACCCTGAAACACCCGTAGTGGCACAGATGCAGAGTGTGGCCATCTTTTGTTGTTCTAAGTTAACATTCCTGGTTGTCTATATGACTTCCATAAACACTGGACTTATTTTGTATTATCTCTTGCAATTGAAAAATGGAATGACAAACCCTGCTTTTGTTGTGTAACAGGATATGGGCAAATAGGCAGTCTGCTGCAAGGTCAAAAGAGAGGAAGATGCGATACATTGCTGAGCTTGAAAGGAAGGTGCAAACATTGCAAACGGAAGCAACATCCTTATCTGCACAACTAACTCTCTTGCAGGTATTGACTTTTGTGCCTGTTATTTAGACAAAAGGTGTATTAATACTGTAATACCATATCACCTTCCCATTGAAATGTTGTTGGGAGGATTATAATTGACACATCTTTGTTGATTATGAGCAGAGAGATACAAATGGTTTGAATTCTGAGAACAGTGAACTAAAGCTGCGGTTGCAAACCATGGAGCAACAAGTTCATTTGCAAGATGGTAAGTTCATAGTTACAAAAAAATGTTTCTGAAGCTAGTGCTCAACCACTTTCATTGCCTCTTTTTATTTCTCTTTGAAAATATCTCTGTAAGTAAACTATCTTAAACCATATGATATTTGTATGCAATATCTTGCTCCAATGGATTAATACACACGACTTATAAGAAAGTGCATTTTAATGTAAAGCTGGCAGCTAAATTTTGTTATTGGGTTTTCCTGGATGATCAAAGGTGAAAAATACCCTCTTGCCTGAAATTTGAGTTTAATGATTTTGTCCAAAATGTGCAAGTTTGCACACATGGAAGGTGAACAGTTCATCTTGATTTGATATCGCTAATATTACGAAAATTAATTGAATCTTGTTCTTGTAGCATTAAACGACGCATTAAAAGAGGAAATTCAGCATTTGAAAATACTGACCGGGCAAGCTATGCCACCTAATGGAGGACCTATGATGAACTTTGCTTCTTTTGGAGGGGGGCAGCAATTCTATCCCGGTAATCATGCCATGCACACCCTTTTAGCTGCACAGCAATTTCAACAGCTCCAAATTCATCCTCAAAAGAATCAGCCGCATCAGCATCAGTTTCAGCAGCTTCAGCAACAACAAATGCTGCAACAGCAGCAGCAACAGCAACAGCAACGAGAACATCAGCAGCAGCAGCAGCGAGAACAGCAACATCAACAATCAAGTGACTTTAAAATGAGAGAAGCTACACCTACTCCATGCCCCAAAGATAACGCTTCCCCAGATGTAAATTCTTCAGGGGCCAAGGACTGTTGAGAGTTGAGACTGCTCATTGTCTCGTCTATTGCCTGTTAGATTTCCCTTTGCCTTGTGTCTTAGTGTTTTTAGGTTATGGCCTTTGTTATATTTTTTCATTCTTAAACAGTACAAATGATCGTCCTAGTTAGAGATTGAGAATAATACATTTGCATCTATGCTACTGTGTAATACTAAAATTCTTTGATACTCATACTCCGTTTAATTGCTATGGATATATAGGGGTAGGTTCATGTGTGTGTAGTCTGCCTTCACTTGCTTGTCTACTACTATAATACCTAAATAGGCTACGTTTTATATTGTTGAGAAAGTTAGTGGTCGTTTTCCCGAGGAATTTTCAAATGTTCATTTAAAGCTCCATTTCTGGTTTAATGTTAAGGAAATAGTCACAATAGGTAGTAAGTGCTCTCTCGTTTGTAGCGCACGAATGTTCTCAATTTTGGGTACGTACGCATAGATTTGCATCTTGAGCTGAGAGGTAAATGGGAACATCAACATACTGGTACATAATTCATTGCACATTGTCTTTATCAGGTCATTCTAATCTTTGGTTGAGGATTATATTAGATTGGTTTTGAAGAGAAAAATCGTTTATAGTATCTTTGTTCGAAGAATTTTAGAAATTCATTAAATTTGAAATTTTTAGAATTTAAATTATTTGATTTTAATTTTCATCATTTTTAAATGATTTATTTAGATAAGTTAATTTAAATTTTAAATTCTTAATTTGGATAAGGTAATCTGATTTTCATAATGGTTAAAATTGATTATATATATATATATATATATATAGAGAGAGAGAGAGAGAGATTTTATGATTAATTTTATAAAAATAAATATTAGTCAATTTTTAAATATTTAGTAGTTTTAAAAATTATTGGGAGAAAAAAGAAAGAGAGCATAGAAGGGAGAAAGGAAATATAGTATGAGAAATGGAAGAGAAAGAGATAAAAGAAAATATGAGAGATAAGAGAGAAAGATAAGATATACAGGTGGGATAAAAAATAAAAGATATAATAAATTTTAAATTCACATATATTTGAATTTTAAATTCCTTGAAAAATTTTCATTCAAACTAAATATTTTATTTCAAATTCTTTAAAAAATTTCATTTAAACAAGACATTTAAATTTTTTAAAAAAATAAATTACTCTATTTAAACTCTTCATCTAAACATATGTTAATTATTTTAATTTTTTTTAATTTATCATCTAATCAATTTAGTTTGAAATTAAAATTCACCCTAATTTAAAAAAATGATTTGAATTGAATTAGTATGTTTCTTGATTTTTCTTTTGGAAAAAGTATTAAACAAATAAGATAAAATCAATTGAATAAAAATATATTAAAATAGCAATTTTTTTTAAGCGTTAATCACTATGCACTACTAGCGTAAAGTTTTTTTACACTGACAATTAATCAAAGTCGTTAATAATACATTTTCATTTGCTTATTTAATTAAATTAAAATAAAAAAAGCACTATTAACGGCTCTGATTGACTGTCAGTGTAAAAAACTTTACACTGAAAGTGTATAGGTGATTAACTCTTTTTTTAATCATAACATTAATATAAAATATTTATCATTAGAAGTGACAATTCTCAATTGAACACTAAGTACATATAAAATAAATATTTTTTTCTCAATATAATCCACATTTAAGATTAAAACTTAAACTTTAAACGATTTGGTTCAAGAAAACAAACACTTCATTTTTAACCATCATATAGCTAAAAGTATTATAATTTTTTGAACACTAAAGTTAAATTTATACAACTTAATAATCATATTTGTATATCAATTGATATAAAACTATTGTATCTTTTAATACGTGACCTCAAGTTAGAATATCGACTTTGTATCCACATTAAACATTCGATAAAAGGAAATTTTTGTACTCAGATCAATCTTGATCGAGCAAATTCATTTCCCAAACACATATAAGTATTTTGTGATAATTCAATAAATATATATAAAAAAATAGACATTAAGTAGTATCTAAAACTTATAAATAAAAAAGATACACATACATATAAATTCAATTTAGATTTAGATTAGACTGGGTCATTTTTCAAATCAATTTCAATTCAATTCAATAGAAGAAAAATCATTTTTATTTTATTAAATTAAATCAATTTACAAACACTACTTTTTTCCAGATCCAAAGCATAAATGTCTGTAGTGAGCATTTAGAGCAATGAAAATCGATGATGCACAATTTGACTGATTGGAATGGAAATCATAGGTTAAATTGTTTAGTTATCAGCTTCATGAAAACAGTAGCACGAGATCAAAGGTCGGTAAAATAGAGAGATGTAAAATGAAAAGAGAGAAATTGGGAAGATGATTTTTTAATATTGAATTTAAATTACATCGATGCTCTTTATTTAAGTTGTTGAAGAAAGGAAGAAAAAAATATTTTTGGTCCAAATGAAAAGGTATAAGCTGCTAAAAAAAATGAAGTGGGAACATATTTGCATGACCCTGATAAGAGAGCGTAATTAAGCTTGAATTTGGTCAAAAGCCAATTTCTGAAATAGCTGCCAAGTGAAACTAAAAATATGCAGCTACGTACCCCGAAACAAATGACGGCAACAATAACACAGCTGTTTAAGGAATGGAAAATACTCGACAGACTTAGTTTTAATAGAAGAACAACGTAACATATGACGAGTGATCTCTAATACATTTTATTTCAGCAAATAATCTTTTTTAATGTGCACCTTTCCACTTTTGGTGTTTGTGCAGCAGTGCAGGGAGGGGGGGTGGGTTTTTTTTTTTTTTTTTGAGGCAACAAAATATAGGGTAAGATTATTTTTAATTTGTTTTCGACGCAAAGGGAAATAATACAGAAACGCATTTGCGGGAACAATACCATGACTACATTCTGGCTTTACATGACTGAGTATCCGGGGCCTCCACCCCCTTCAGGCACTGTCCACTCGATGTTTTGCTTTGGATCTTTGATATCACAAGCCTGAATATTGAACAAGTGTGTTAAACCGTGTAGGAAACAGAGATTTTACTAGTGTACCAAGATAAAACCTGGCAGATACCGTCTCAGTTTGTAGATACACAGGTTATAGAACATAGGCTAAAACTTAGTTAAGCCACAACCGTAATTAAAAGCCGCAATTCTCCTTTTTCAATACAAGACTTTCAATAGAAATACAAAATAACGCAGACTGTGCAGTGTAAAATTCGATCCTCAAAGTGTGGGTATTATTAAAGAAGCAAGCCGCATCATAATGATAACTTTAGGTACTATGGTGAGGATATAATTTCCTCTATCATGAAACTTGTCACCAAAAATAAACAAATATATATCCACGAGATACCGACGTAATGATGTCCAAAACAATGCAAGACTACTCAAGTTCACAAAGATATATTTGTATATTCACAACTTCACCAAGGAATTTTTAAAATGTCAAATCAGAAAAAGTAAGAAAAGGATTTAATTAGAATGCACTGACAATAAAAAAAAAAGGATTTTATACTGTTATCCAATTATAAAGGACTGAAATGAGAACATATCCCCTCCAGTGAAAAAAAAATTGAACATGTTCAAGTGTCACAATCTCATTCTTTACTCGTGTAAACCCCAATTTCAAAATAAAAATTTATTGAAGAAATCGGAAAAAGGTTATATTATTTCTAATTATTGACAGTATAATTTATTTATTTATTTTACATTAACACTACACGAAAATATACAGAATTTACTTATTACATTTCCCCGCTTCTAGCCTACGCTCTCGTGTGCAAGTTTAGACAGCAGAAATAAGTAAATTTTGTACTATTTTTCAACTATCTACACATGCACCGATGTGCTATATCTTGAGCATATAACAAAATTCGTACAATGATCCAATTTAGTTAGAAGTTTACCTTGCAATGTAAGCAATTTTGTGCATTGATTTGTAACTTCATCTGATTATGCTCATCTGCAACATACCTGGAATTTGAGAAATAGATGAAAAATATCAATGAATGATTAAAAAACTGAAAATCCTTATAGAAATCAAGCTTTAGTAAATAAGCATTACTCATATACTCGTGCAGGACAATATCGCGATTCAGGTGCAGCATACACTGGTAAATTTAAAACTTCAGGAATCTTTGGGTCTCTCAAACGAAGATGAGGAGGTTGATCATGTTCATGATTTGTGTTGCTCCTGTCAAAAGAAACGTAATATAAATGCCTATAAAGCAAGAAATGAACTGCAAACTATATCTACTAATAGATCAATAATTTGTCATTATTTATCAAAGCCATAAACAGAGAAGCTGACACAAGTTATTACTACGTAAATCAGTGGACAATAATTTTGTTTTTCATTCACAAAAAATCCGCATATCATGAAGTGCCATCTTATATAACTAAACGTGGTTCTTACAGCGAAATTTTCCATATTGCATATTGAGTTTACCCACTAATTTTAATCGAATAACATTGTTCTAATAGAAGATGTCATAATACTACCTATCCTCGAGAAAGTCCCATTACCAAGCCTATTCTTAAACGGGCAGAAGGTTAGCACTTTCCTCATGACAGCATATGACAACAAAATTAGCATTGCTCCTAAAGTCTATCACTTTCTTATCTTTGCAGGATGAGGTGGATGAATAATAGAAACACTGTTACATATCTGAAAAAAGATAGTAAGTAGGTTTTTACCTACAAAATTAGGATATGAAGTGTATTTGGCTATATAAATGAACTACTTGAATTTCAATTTGAGTACTCTCCTCGTATCTCTATCTTTCCTCTGCCACCCTCTATTTGTTCTCTCTTTATTAATTTCTTCCAATCATGTATAATTTTGGTAAAAGATCAGAAATACAACCATGCAACCTTTTCTTTTTTAGAAACCAAGTTTGGGAGAACTTGCTCCCATCCCTTGGTTTAATTCCTATTAAAAATGATTGAATGTCTCAACTCTCAAAGGTAAGCAACAAAAGGGAGTAAATGTTCCAAAACCTGTGCAGAGAAGTAGGTACATCAAAGGACAAGACACCATCAGCCTTTGGATAGTGAATTGGAGAATGCAACTGTGCAGCCTGCATAAATGACAAAATCTATATATTACACAGGCAAGCTTAATGCTATATATTGTTATTATTAGAAAAAAATACATCAAATAATCAAGCTCACTAATCTCTGCATATAAAATAACGAAAGGCTTCTAAAATATAACAAAAAGACATCACTTTATATCATATAAGTGGTAACAGG